CGACCCGCATATCATATGAAAGCCTTTTCCAACACCAAATATATAAATGCTAGCAAAAATCGCCTATTTTGTCTAGGGGAGAATTTTAGGGAACTTGAAACACATGTCTTTGGGGTGGCCCCTACAATTGTAACTTCCAAGCCAGAAGACTCGTAACATCGCAAGTTCGATGCTATGGTTCGTCTTGATTGCTTCAAAACTTGGTGTGCGAGGCCTTCCCAGCTGGTTGGGTCGAAAAATCAATCGATTTTAAGGTGGAACTTTGCGTGCCTTCCGAGTTACATAACGCGTAACAATCCAGCTTGATATTTCGCGATGTCTCCATTGCTTCCCAGTTTGGCGTGCAGCATCAAGATTGGCCTTTCGGGCACTGTGTAATCGGTGCTCGTACGAGATGCAGTCGAATTTAGGACAGAAATGCAGGTCCACGTCAGCGATAACGAAATCCACAGGGGGACGTATCGACTTCTCCCACCTCAGGGCGAAGGATAAATGCGGCCCTTCTCTGAAGTGCTGCCTAAATCTACGCGCGCGCCTAGCCAGAGGTCTGATACAACCGCGCCCGGCCGGGGGGGGGGGGGGAGGCTGACTTCCTCCTGAGATCTTCAGCTTTCAGACGTCGTATGAGAAAAACAAGGATACCGTCGTGAATGTCGCGTCAAATAATGAATAATGCACCACAAATTATTGACGTTCAGATTTCATGCGAGGTCACAAGAGGTCACGAAAGATCAAGACTGGTCGCTCCGGTATATGCAATTAAAAATGTGTTAACACGTCAAGACGGATATTGAGGACATGGACATAAACGCTGAGACTGAGAAGAGTCCATTCCAACCATTTATATTCCCCACAAGGGGCAGGCTAGAACGAGGCACCGTTTGGAATTGGTCTACCAATAGCTTACAAGAACGATACTTTTTCACAATGCGCTTCTCACTAACTTCAATTTGTTAGGTGCAGCTGTCGGACAAAAGCCTTCTAGACACAAAAGGATCATTTTAGGCTGACTTAGAGGTTATGTTAAGTCAGCTCAGGTCAACGTTATACATCATCCAAATGAAATGTTAGCCGGGTCTATATGACCAATATCATGCTTTTCTGTGGTCAGAAATAGTGTGCTGTGCGACTACAAGCACTTAAGACCGCGTAGGTGTTGCCTATACCATGCATAGTTCCTTTGACGCTTGGCAATATATCTGCAACTAAATGAGAACATGCACGTTGGTAAATGAAACCATTGATCAGCTTCACAAACACGATATAGAGGTAGTTATACGGGTCGAAATTGTTCATCTAGCCTCTCCGCTATTGGCAGCATAGGCCATTGATCTAAGATGAATTCACATTATCTTTCATGCCCTCATATGACCAATTTTGACCTCATCATGCATTGGAGCAATATCACAACATGCTTTCAGGTGAGTATTAAAATATACCTACAAAATTGGTTACAGCACTGCGTATTTTGAGCTCAGCATTTGTTTTGCAGAACGTACCCAAAGAGGAAGGCCATGGACTGGGCCAAAGCCACATATTCTGTGGTGATATGGTAGTTGTGCATGTGACTTCGTACTCTTAAGCTTACAAACAAACGCCAAAGCCAGCCAAAAATGGTACAAATTCGAGTTATTTACAAAAATTGTAAAATTGAACTGACTAGACCGCTGACTTTGCCTTTTCTGAAAAATCCGAAAGACAGTAGGTACTTTCATGTTTTAACACTAAGGCAGGTTTGAGCAATATGAGCGGTCAGTTTTTTCAGAGGTTGACATCTTTGGCCCCACCTAGGTCACTGATGTTGGTAGCTCAAAACTTCGAAGTTGCACGAATGATGCCAAATTGATGGGTAAACAGGAACTATACGTTTTGTCCACCTGCGTACGTTCATTTTTGTGCCCAAAACCAGTAGGGGGAGTCCATTTCCTGAATGTGCGAGTTAATTTACTCTGTATTAGGCACCTATTTCCCAGAACCACAAGCAACTCCACATTCCACTCTTACATCTCCAGGCAAAGTATTACCGGCTGTGCAGGTACCTTCTCCTTTGCTCACCATTTAACGGCGTTCGTAATTTCAGATTGTAAGAAAATGTAATAATAAGAGTACGCACTGCGTAATACTTTTCAGTTACTGCCGCGCCATCGACGTCCTGAACTAATGAAATATTGTTAAGTGGTTTGTGCTTACCAACTACTCAATTTTGAGCTATTATGCTACCCACTTGTGCTAGATTCGTCCTTTTTAGTGTGCTAGACTTGCACCAGTGTTTTCTAAGTCTTCCCTTAATTTTATTCGAAATCCCACCTCACAGTCACTGATCTTCGGAATCAGGTTGTCCAAAAGGCCCTGCACATCAAATTTCGAAGCAATGGAGACACCCCGCAGTAACAAATGGACATGCTTCACGTCTTTGTAACTCGGAAATTACGCAAAATCGCACCACGCAACGTACGATTTTTGGATTTAGCGTGTCGAGAAGGCCGTGCACACCAAATTTGGAGGCAATCGTGACACGTAACAATATCCAACAGGTAGCCGGATATTAACCTGTTGTTAGATTGACAGACGTGTAAACTCATATTATAAAGGTTCCCTCAAAGGTATTACCCACCTAAAAATCATCGGACCATGAGGTTTCTTCAGCCTGATTGATGAATAAGGTTCTATGGTTTCATGAGACAATTTTGAATAAGGGCTGTCCCAAGGATATTTTTTTCGGTTGTCTTTAATCTCTCCATGGGCAAGACGGAGTTCTTGTTTGCAATCCTACAGTTGGTTTGACAAATGTCTTTATATGATATCCAACTTGGCATATATTTGCCGGTAGGTGAGTGGAAATCCCGTTGAACATTTTCCTATAGTGTTTTGGCCGCCTAGACATTAATGGTTCATAGGGGTTTCTTCAGCCGCATTGATGGGCACCGGCCTATGGCTCGATGAGGCAACTTTAAACACAATCGTAGGGACCGCCCCAAAGACATATTTTTTATCGTCTATAACTTTCCCCCTAGACGAAACAGATAATTTGTGCTTGTATTCCTGAAGTCGGAGCTTATGAGTCCCCTCAGGGAACAAGGGGGCACGTTTCCGTGCGCCCATCCTCTGGATCCGCCACTGGTCAAAGAAGTTTAATAGATGGGCCTCGACAAGAACATAGGGTCATCCATTTAAACAAGAGTACCCAAGACACAATATGGAGGGCACAGGGATGAACGAGTGTGCCGGAGCAGGTTAACAGACGGAGGCCGCCGACAGAGCACAGGGCCCTCCATTCAAACCTTGAATACTCAGATGCAATGCAGGGACCCGAAACGATCGAATGATCCAAGCAAGTTAACAGGCAGCAGGTCCGATAAGAGCGTGTGGCCCCTCTTTTAAATAGGAGGTAGTCCAAGACCTAATGTAGGGGGCCCACGAATGATCGAGTGTGCTTGAGCAGGTTAACAGATACGGCCCCGACAAGAGCGTAGCGCCCTACATTCATATACCAAAACCCAATGTGCAGGGCCCCGAACAATCCAGTGCGTCTTATCAGGTTAGCAGATAGGGACCCCGACAAGTGCGGAGGGCCCTCCATTCAAATAGGAAATACCCAGGACACAACCTGGAGGGGCTCCGGACGATTAAGTGTGCCCGAGGAGGTTAACAGATGGGCTCCTGACAAGAGCTTAGAGCCCTAAGCAAGTGACAGAGAACTGAAGGACCTTAGGCCAATGTAGAGGGCCGATGGATATATCGTGAGTGTGTCCGTAGGCTAACCGTGACCAGTATCAAGGACACCTGAGCAACCGAGAATACCCCGGTGGTTAAACATAGGCTCTAGCGTATAGAGCCTTTCGGGGAAATGGAAAGAAGCTGTGCAAGTCCCCTGAGTCATGAGCGCGCACCGGCACGCTGGCAGGAAAGGCCCAGCAGCAACATAGGGTTCTCCGTTCTCCTCTCTCTCTCTCTCTCTCTCTCTCTCTCTCTCTCTCTCTCTCTCCTCTCTCTCTCTCCTCTCTCTCTCTCTCTCCTCTCTCTCTCTCTCTCTCTCTCTCTCTCTCTCTCTCTCTCTCTCTCTCCTCTCTCTCTCTCTCTCTCATCTCTCTCTCTCTCTCTCTCTCTCTCTCTCTCTCTCTCTCTCTCTTCTCTGCTCCGCTCTCTCTCTCTCTCCTCCTTTAAACTCTCTCTCTTCGAATCCCCTCTCTCTCGTTCTATTAATTATCCTTGCTCCTTTCTCTGCTAGGATCTAAAACTTGCCTCTTAAAACCTCCGAATCCCCACTCTCAATCAGTGAAGAATAATTTTTGCCTTCTCGTGTGCCCTTTACTTTCGCTTGCGACCGTTCTTGGCCACCTGGAAGCCCGAAGATGTCCAACTTTGCTGCGTTTGTGTAAAAACTGCGTCTGTTCGGCCGACTATGTTCCCCTCTTTCATCCGACAATAGCGCAACCCTTTGAGCGTTTCCAGAAGCGTTAACCGGTAATCAACCCATCATCGAAGTACCACTAAAAAAAGGCGCGTGCGCGTCGAATTTCAGCCCGGCCCAGCGTCAGGCATCAGCTGCGCCAGGCCCGAGCGTTCCCACTGCTCAGAACGCGCGACTCCCCGAGGTCCTCGTCCTGCAAGAAGAAAGCGCACAAAGGGCGTCTAGCGGGCGCGACGGGCGCTGTGGCAGCCCGGCCGTTAGCGGAAACGTTGCATCAGTTGACGTCAGGCGCCTGACGCGGCACCCGCGTTGCCGCTGCACCTCCAGCCCGGACGCCTGAAGCCGCCCCTGAAATCCAGGTGCCGTGGCTCACCTGGCCGCCGCCTTAGCGGGAGGCAGGGATCTAAGTAGCGCGATCACCCCGCTCGGAGCATTTCTAGCAGGTAGAGAGTCCTGAAAGATAGCGCTTGTAGGTACCAGAGTACCTGTCATGTTCGAGCCCACCAAATCACCCTGAGCCCGTACCACTAGTTCACTGCTGGAAAGCCGTCCTGCGCCGACCCCTGTCCCGCAGGGCGGGCGGGCGGCAGATCTCACCGCGGTCAGTCAGTTCTGCTGTGACAGTCCAGGGGTATGGAGGATTACGGGCGGCGTGAACCGTTCGTCGGCATGTGAGCACCGCCACGGTTCCGTCCGACAGCCGTGCCAGCCGACCCAAGGTCAGTGGCGCTACAGCCGGCGGTGGCCGGCGTCGAGCCAGGCGGCCGCCTGATCCGGCCCGGCCGCCCCTCATTCGCTATGCACCCTCGCAGCAGAGGGCGAGTGCGGCCTCGGCCCCGGCGTCCGTCGCGCTCCCGGCCGGATAAGGTGGGCCGCTTCGTCGCCAGGCTGCAGCCGTGCGGCGTCGCTCTGCGCGTCCCCTCAGAGGCAGGTGACGCCATCTAACCTCGACAGCTGGCTGCGTCGTACGGCTGCGCACACACAGGGGCCGGACACTGGTCCGACCTGTCATCTCTGCCCCACCGCAGGGGTGGGGCAGCGACCGGTGGTCGTGCCCGTTTGTGTTCAACTTTCAGTAGGGTTCAGATTGTTCTATTCGCCCGCACCAGTTCTTTAACGCATGAAACGTACATCGTTCCTCAGTCTCGGGACAAGTGAGTGTGTTTGTGGTCCTCGTATGGCCGCCCCCTCTCACTTGCTATCTGATGGCGGTGTGTGGGTGGCCCTTACCCAATCGCGCCTGGCACCCTCGGCGGAGACGGGGGAGGGGAGGTGGGCAGGGGCCCGGTGATCGCACTCGCCTGCCCTGACCACCTGGGTCCCACACGTCACACACAGTTTGGTGCCGTGGTGCCGAGAAGTGTGTCACTCGTCCTGATCTGCGCCCGTCCCCAGCCGCGCTGGTGACCACCCACGCGCGTGCTGGCTTAGTTCCGCTCCTGCTCGCACTAGTCCCGATCCGCGCTCGCCCCGTCCCCCGCTTGCCCAGCCCGTCCGCGCACGTCCCGACGGGAGCGGCGCGGACGGGCTGGGCGGACGTGCGCGGACGGGCTGCCGCACGTCTGGGCCGCTGATCGCTTGAGCCAAGGGCGTGAAGGGCTAAGAATTGGATTGGGGCGAGGGTTGGGGTTGAGCTGCGGTCACCGCCAGCCGCGTGACCCGGGAGGAGGACTGATGACTCACTAGACAAGTGTAGTGACGTTGGTGTGGGGATGTTATAAGGTAGGCGTCGCCGACTGGTCGGTCGGGCTGCGGACCAGACCTCGGACCGTCGGGCGTCGCCGGGCCTCCGGGCTTGGCCTGCACCATCTTGTCAACGGGGCGGAGGGGATTGGGTGGGATGCAACAGGCACGATTTGGACCCGTGAGGAGCAAAAATCTGCAAGGGCCTCGCCGCCGAGGGGAAGGAGTTGCACCGGTGACATCATCGGTTACTCCCATGTTGATTTTATTCATGTCCTTATTTGAACACTGACATCATGCAAAGGTCAGGACGTCAACTGAAAATGCACCCACGAGTCCGTCAGCGTTTGCTTTCGGACCTAGGGTTTAATTTGAAAAGAGCGTGTTCTCCACTCACAAAATAGTATCGTAAAAAGAAGAAAGTTATTCTGCTATATCAAGCTTACATGAATGAGCACGGCACACCATCTGCACCTCATCATCAGCACCACAAGGGGATGACAGCGCCGGACCCAGAGCCCAGGGGGACCGGTCCGGTCCCTTTTGTCAGGAAGGTCCATCAGTCCAGCTCATTCCGACAGCCGGAGGGTGGGACCGTTCCGGTCCGCTGTGTCAGGCGGAGGGTCAGACCGGTCCGGTCCGGTGCGGCGTGTCAGGCAGAGGGTCGATCAGCCCAGCTCCGCCCGTCAGCCGGAGGGTCGGACCTGTCCGGTCGGGTCCGGCGCGTCTGCCGGCCGAGACTGACTGCGCGATAACGGGCCGTCTGCACGGCCGGGGCCGACCTCGGCTGGAGACGGTCGGGCGGGTCTGCAGTCAGCCGCGCTGCACCGCCCAAATTGGTCCTGCAGGTGAGCACGGCTGGAGGCGGCCGCTGGCGTCCGGCCGCGTGGAAATCGAAGCGTGACGCCAGAGAGGCCAGATTTCGAGGGATACAGTAAGAGAGGGTGTCACGCGGGGCGCTTTCGCGACGCCATGTTGGCTGGAGACTTGCATCATCCGAACGTGCGTGGAGCAGACGGCACTGCCAGCCACAGTGCACGGGAGGTAAAAGACCGTGCTCAGGAATAAGTCACGTCTGCTTCTCCATCCCGCCCCTCAACCGCAACAGGCGCGTACAAATGGAAGCGTGGGCGTACCGAGAGCCCGTCATGTGTTCGGAGGCTGGCGGCGGTCGTTGGGCGCAGCCCCCTCTCGGTCCCGGGTGCCGTCCCGACGCCGCGTGACCTGCGCGCCGACCCTGCAGGTGGTCCACTCTCAGGCGTATCGTCCCCTCCCCCCGCCCTCGCGCCACACCCGTCAGTGGCGGACAATGGGGGCCTGGCGCCACGCGGCGTCCGTCGCGCGACGGCTTGTGTCGCTTGTCCTACCCCGACCTTTCCAGCAGGCGCAGCAGGGCTTCTCAGTGCGCGGGCTTCCTCTGCCCTTCTTACCAAAGCCTGCGCATTGCGCCTCTTGTCCGGCTCCCAGCGCGCGGGCCTAGACGCCGGTCGCTTTCCATGGGGTTCATTGCAAAGTTTTCCCAGACATCGATGTAGGGACTTGGCTCAGACGGGGCATGACGCACGCAGCCCAGTGAGGTCCAGAGGCGTGGTCCGCAAGCACACGCAGCGTACGAGCCCTTGCGCCAATCCCCACGTGTGCCATAAATCAGTGTCCTCGCGGAGCGTAAGCCACTAACATTTCTGCCTGGCGTACGTAGGCTTTTGCAGTGTAAAATCGACGTCGTGAGCGTCCGGTCCTGCTCCTGACAGAGCCATTGGGGTCCATATCTATGTCCTCGTCGCGTATGATCTGGTTGAGGTGGCTAAGCTCCGCCCGACTCTGTTCCGCAGGCGAGAGGAGATCATGGGACCGAGTCGGTCGCTGCTGCTGCTGCTGCTGCTGCTGGCTGTTCTCAGACCGGGGCTGAGCAGTCAACTGAAGGACGGCCAGGACAACCTGCTGCGAAGCTACGCCAAGGACCTGGACAGCTTCAGCACAAGCACGCCGAGCACCACCACCGCCTCCGATGAAGATGACGATGACGATGACGATGACGATGATGACTACGACTACTATGACGAGGATGACTATGATGACGAGTTCGACGACGTCATCTATACCAAGGATGCCAGCGGATGTCCGACGCCTTTCCTAGGACGCTGCCGTTGCGGCATGATGATGTACCAGAACGAGGAAAGGTACGTGGTGAACTGCACCAACACGGGATTCACCAACGCCACCATGCTGCGTGCCCTTCCCGACGAGACTGAGGTCCTCATCTTCACCGGCAACTTCCTCGAGGTTCTGCCCACCAACATCTTCGGCACGGTCGCCGACTTCGAAGACCTGGAAACTATAGACATGAGCAATAACGGCATCAAGGAGATCAAGGGCAAGACGTACCACCGCGTGTCCAACGTGAAGACGTTGATCCTGAATCACAATAGTTTGTACATCGTCGATTCTAAACATCACCCGCGCGTCTTCAGCAATTTCATGAATCTGGAAAACCTGCATTTGACAAATGCCTTCACAGAGGAGGTCGATTCAAACTGGTACATGGTCAGCTTAGAAATAATTTTCCAAGGCAGTATGCTCACCAAGCTGAAGAAGCTGCACCTGGAGCAGAACGAGATCTGGAACCTGCGCGATCCACGCACCTTCTGCCACCTACCGTCGCTGGAGCACCTGTACCTGGGCAGCAACCGCTTCACCGGCGTTGACATGGACCTGCAGTGCCTGAACAAAATCAGCTTCCTGGACCTCGAGTATAACTCGATCCGGCGGCTGGACGGCAACGCCACGGCCCGGCTCGACCAGCTGGCCGCCAAGAACCCCAACTTCGCCGTCAAGCTGGCGATGAACCCGTTCTACTGCGACTGCGACATCAAGGACTTCTTCGAGTGGATGCAAACGACGCGCGTGCGCCTGGTGGGCAGCGAAATGTACCGCTGCTTCGAGGGTCGGCCGGCTTCCAACGAGAACCTGCCGGTCATGAAGCTGAAGCACGTGGAGTGCACGCCGGCGCCGGCGGCGCGCACCTCGGCCGCGTCGGCGGTGCTCGGCGTGCTGGTGTTCGTCATGTGCGTGCTGCTGGCCGTGGTGCTGTACATGCACCGGCACCAGCTGGTGCGGCGCGCCAAGACGCTCCAACCCCAGCTCCGCACCGCCATCGGGAACGTGAAGCGCTCGCGCCAGTACACCAACATCGAGCACGAGGAGGCTCCCGAGGTCGAGGTCTGAGGTGCGATGTCGCGGGGCTGAGATGTGAGCGCGAAGCGCCGGCCCCGGGGTGAGTGGTACGCAGACTGTCAGGCTGACGTGGGCGACGCCGCGGCTGCGACCCCTGGCGCATATGGCCAAGTTGTGACAGCACGCCTGCCGCTGGGCTGGAGAGGGGGAGGAGCTCCACGGACGTCGCCGCAGGCGCACGGGAGCGCCGCGCTGCTATCACCTGGTGTGGACGGCGGGGCTCGTCTCACTTGGCCGGAGTCTGCGTCGCGCTTTCCCCGGTGTGTGAAGTGAACGGTGCCGCCACTCGCAGCGCGGCGAGGCCGGGACAGAAAAGACTAGGCATGGCCTAGGGTCGGAGACGTGACACGGTCCGTCTGATACGAGAAGAAGGCTTCGTCACCGGCGCCGATGTTCTGCTTCCGCGCAAAACACGGAGGGACGCGTTCTTCCCCTGCGTTAATGAGCTTTGCGAGTGATGGACGTACATTCCATTAGGGTGCTGTCTTGCGAGTGATGAGTTGAGGCGCGGGATGAGGCTGAAGTAATGTTACATTTTCGCCTGATTATAGGTCTTCTACGATCAAAGGAATCGCGCAATATCGTCTGCTAATTTCGTATATCCTGTGTGGCACATAGGACGGGGGAAATGCCAGAACAGTGGTGCTAAGTAGACGAGGACATATTGCATTCAGGAAGCGTAGTAATAGCGTGTTAGCAGCTCTGTGAACCGCGCAAGTCACGTTAGTACTAACAGTATTTATCAACTGGCCCACGTCACCATAACATTAGCATTTCTTCGCGCGAGACGTGAATCCTCATGCTTACTCTGCGCGCCAGCTACACCAGCAACTGTGTGATGTCGGCAGCTAATCTTGAACAGAACCAGAATACATTATATTTTTAACAATAGCGGAACGATTAGTGAGATAACGTGTCGGGCCGGGTGCGCAGCATTGTTCCACAAGAGCAGTAAGGTAAAGACAACCAAAACTTAGCAGCCACAGACGTCTTCGGTCAACCTTGCCCGACAAACCGAAAAGTTAACATTCTGAACGCCGTCCAATATTAAACATCCCGAACGTAAGAGACGCACCCGGATAAACGCATGCGCCGCGATGTGCGCGAGCTGACACAACATCCTCTCGGCAGCATAATACACGCCACGTGATACACGACTAACGCATGTCCAATACGGAGCTATCCGGACTGGTGCAACAATGACGTGCAATTCTGTCCACATAGACACTCACTGCAATACGCACCCATTGTCACAGCTCCTTTCATCACTAATTTACGGCTCAGCTAGATTCCATAGGCATATACAATCACCGATCGCTCTGCTACGTGCACACCTAAACTAAATGGATATACTTAAACGTAGAGACCACCAATCACAAAAATAATCGTCCTCATAAAATCAAAGACGTAGTAGACCGCCTACTACGACTGACAGCCAAGGACCGGCTAGTAAATCCCAATACCGAGACCGCACAGCAAAACCAACACATAGGAGCTGCCTAGAAAGATAGACACTCGTCTACCTCGCCGCCTGGGATAAGGACAGTATACCAGGGTTCTTACACGCCAGACGTTCTTACACGCCCACGCGCGTGCCGCTCACCAGCCCAGCCCACACGCACATGTGAATGAATGCAACGGCAGCGGCTACCGCGACCATTGCTCCATTACGGAGGATGAAGCTGGCATGTTCAAAGGATGAGATGGGTCATTCAAATACTGAAACCGGCATGCTCAAAGGATGAGAATGGCTTAGCTCCAATGGTCAGACCAAGGCTATCTAACGGGTCAGATCGACAGGTTCGAACGGGCGAAGTTGGCACTAATTATTGAATACCCCGTCCGGCCAGCACAGGTCTGGCTAGGTGCGGGCTGACATGTTGCCATGGCGACGGATCTTTCGGACAAAACCGGCGGCCAGCTGCTCTTTATCAAACCTAATTATCGATCTTCGAGGGAGCCTTTTTACATGGCATGCCGCGATTATCGTAATGAGTCATTACTGTAATGGGCATTGTCAATTCAAGACCCGAATCTCGGCGGAACCGGCGCAGGCCCAGCTTCGAAGAACGGTTTCGCCTTCCTGGCGGCGATCAGCGACCAATGGACAATTGGCGACACTTAGCTAGTTGTATGTCGGTTGCAGGTAAGAGTCTGGAGCGGTGGTGCGGCGGCGGTTGGTGCCGGAGAAAGTTCGTCATTGTCCGTAACCCGTACCAGATGCGAGGGTGTTAAAACAACGCGCAGCGCACACCTCAAATATGCTGTTGTACACGTACATCACTCCTACTTGCACACATCCGTCTACACATGTATTTGGACGATACAGCCCGGTACAACGTGAGCGCAGATAAGTGGTCACTGTGATGGTTGATGATGATTTGTAGCATGAAACAACAAATTCATTGTTTTGTTGCAGACTCATCAGCACATTCGCTGGTCACTCATTGTGCACTGACAGCCGATACACGTTTTGCAGATTCAAATTAGCTTAAGGGTGAACCCACAAAGCTTCCCGTAACCAACCGAATTTTAGGAGTTGACTTCGCAAGTCATCGGTGAGCAAACTAAAAATCAATGCGGGCAGTAAGGTATATTCCCAGCGTTATAGTTCAATGTACAAAAATACCACACTCACGCGCAAACTTACACCGCTGTAAATCAAACACCCCATTTGAACTTTAATGGCGCAGGGTTGACTCTACAGTAGCACAATGCCGATCGGAGTCTAGGTCCGAACCAAACCAACGCACCGCAAGAGTCGAAATCGATCCCACTGATGCAGAATCAAGAACAACTCGTTTTGAGGAATACACGGCTGCAGTGCCAGTCGCTTAAAACAATCAAAAATACGTCAGAAATTTGCGCATTCACTTGAAACGCACACCAATTGTCAGCAATTCCTGGTTTTAAGCGGCCTGTGTGGACTAAACACTTGTATTCGCGTAAGTTATTTCTGTGAAACTGCTAGAGCTTTATGAATGGAATTGAGCCGCCGAAACATCGTTGTTCGGATAGACATGAAGGGCGTTAGCGGCACTTTCTTTTTATGTGTCACGACTTTTTCACGCCACAAATTTTTTAATCGATATTTCACCGTTCGCTCTTGTCTGAAGCCTCAAACTGCAAAGAAATACAATAAATAATAAGCAAAGTTCACCACGCGTCGGCAGACATATAGCGAATTGCAGTTTCACTACACAGACACAGCGGCACAGCATATTTCGGCACACATATAGACAAGATGTTCAGTCTCAGAGGATCTACTTTCGATAAATTGCAGCCTTTTTGTGTATTCTACATCAATTCTTTTAAGTTTTGGGCTCAGCACCAATCCAATGTGAGACAAGAATCAGCTGGTGGAACTTCATTACAGCGGTGTGTTGGCACATGACGTTACGGCTGAAGACAAAGTGCTGACGATTGACGCAAACGGTTAAAGAAGTGTTTCTTCAAAGCAAATAATGCGCTCGTATTGGTTGGGGAAGGGAAGAGGCTTTATGTACCTGTTTTTCCGACATGTTGAGCGAAAACGAATTCTGACAAGTTTTTGCTATACCCAATCTCTTGAACAAATGATTCAAGTTTTTGGAGACATTTCAAGCGGCCAGCTCCATGAACAAAATTTGTTTTGCGCAGGCTGCCACATTCAGGCTCATGATCAGCACCCTCTTGCACGACGTTGATATGTGCGGCAGAACATATCAAACACGTTTCAAGACGTACATACGCGCGTCACCAGTAGTTTCTTCTCATGCTCTGGAGTCACCCGGCCTATCACAGTTAGTCACAAATCATCATCACGTACGATGCGACGCGACCTTCAAGTCATTTTCCTAGCCACTAAGACGTGGATGTCTTGAGCCCTATATTCGGGATGCAGTTGATCCGTCGGCACCTCTTCCACTTCGAATTCTTTCCGTAGAGATTCTGAAAACGTCTTCTGCAACGCCTGCTTCATCTCCGAATCCCTGTCTTCATAGCTGACCAGTACAATAGTACTGGGGCCAGCCAGGGCCGATATTGTGTCCAAAAGTGGCAGGAGCGACTGCAAAGACCGTCATACAAAATATCAAAGTATCTTATCGCTGTCCACATTTTATTCCGCGCATCATATCCGCTGTACTATGTATGTCACGCGTGATTATGTTCTTAAAAAAGGTCGCGTTCGGGTACCCAACGGTACACATTTGACAGCTTGCATCACCCTGATGGCGACGATGCAAGCCGTCAAACCACGAAACAAACTGCGAACAGTACACGCCAAGCCATTTCATGTCACATCCTGTTACGCATGCGCAGGGGTGGGAAGGCGCACTGGCCGGGTGGTTAGCTTTTTCGGCCCCCGCGTGGGGTATCCGGGTTCGAAACCTGGTTTTGCCACGGCCCCTGAGCTTTAATATAGCGACTGTAGCCGCCGGCAGTCCATGGAAAGGCGCAACATGCGTCGGGTTCTCAAAAAAGAAGAAAAGAAAGAACGGGGGCCGAAATACTAGCCGGCCTCTCAATGAGCGATACAATGTAATTCTCATGCAAGCAATCGCTCCAAACGATCTGCCATCCATGGGTTATAAGGTTTGAACGACGCATTAAGCACGTACAGCCATTAAGCGTCCATATAGCTGAGGCCTGTTATAGCGGGAGAAAAAAACCCTTCGCCCGAGGCCAGGCTCGAACACCTAGAACACCCGCGTGCGGTGAGGAGGCAAACGTTCTCCCAATTCCGTTACACAAAACGAAGCTAGTCGTGCAGTAAAACTTCAGTTTTCAGTCAATGTTGGTGAATCAACGCTTGTGCTCAACTTTGGGTGGCGTTGGAATGCATTTCAGAATCAACATAATTTCCTTTGACTTCTGGCAAGCCTCATTTCATTGACTGATCAAATTCGAGTATGCTGCCGGTGAGATTTAAGCGCATGGCAAAACGAAATGCAAGTCTTCGGGCTAGATAGAAGTGTGGACGCTTTCAGGATCTTGATCATAGGTGTTTGAAGAAGAAACTTTGCACTATTAGTGATCGATGACCGCAGACCCAGGTTCGAATCCTGGTCGCGTCATGACCTATGAGCACTGACATGGCCCATGCAGTTGATGCGCCCTAAAAAGGGTGTGTGGGTGTGTGTGCACACATTCTCTATAAAAAGGAGAACAGGTGAGAAGAAGTGTGCCAGAGAATTACATTGTCTTAATATACAAAAACTTTGAAAGATTGGATCAATTGTGACTAGTTCCCATTGCTTCCCTGCATTGCTACAGGGCAAGTGCTCAAATGTGGCAGAGTTCAGGGTGGAGTTGTTTTTGTGTCCTGCCCCCCCCCCCTCCCATTCTTCCCTGTCCTTTGACCCACATAATACAATCCAGCCTCAGCTTTCATTACTGCAAATGGTCTTACATCAGGGACAGTGACTGTGGGTTGGGGGAGATGCAGCCAATACCCCATGGCTTGTGATTGGCCAGAATGAACAGGATGTGATACACGCCTCTCCCGGTCAAAGTGCCACCACACAAGGTTCCAAGGCAGGGTGTATGACCATACCAGTATCCATGGAAACATGAGGACATGACCTTACCTCAGGATAATAAACACAATCAGCTACAAGAAGCAGATCAGCTTCAGGGAGGCTGATATTTTTGTGCTCTCCCCATCTCAAAACAGTGGCAGTGGCTTTCTCTTGCAGGTTGTTTTGCTCTATGTTCTTTTGAATGAGAGGCATCAGATCTTCTAGGTCTGTTATATATGTGTTGCATCTGGACAACATAATAAAATGGTTAGACATGTGTTATCTTACAAACAACTGACCATTTACACATTCCATAGACATACTCCATTGTTCTCATTGATCAACCTCCACCTTTTTGTGTTCAGTTTTATCCTTATTTTTCCTGGCATGCGCATGCATAGGCAGAAAATCTGGCCAAACTTGAGATATGTGTTTGTGCTGTGCAAAGCTGTGTGCTCTGCATTCCACACAGAAAGTCTCTTGAATTGAAGAATAAAATAAATGTCATATTGCTTGATAACTGTATGAAAACAGTCTGGGTGAAGCAGCCTTGAATCTGATGTTAGAATCAGACACCAGTTTTTTAACACAGCATTGCAGTTTTCCAATATTCAACCATATGGGGATGACAGGGATGTCAATATCTTTCATGTTATCAATTTTTGGGCTGCCGTCAGGGATTGGAGTCAAGCGAGAAATGAGAAGCCAATGACCTGTGCATGCAGTGCGAAAACCACCAAGGGGCCAGAATTATAGTATCTCTAATTTTCATTTACGTGCTGCATACCCACCTGAACTAATTTTAGACTGTCATACCTTTTAACATGGTGCACACAAGCATATAATCATGGCATACAGGGATATAATATTAATCATATTACCCTAGAGACGCTGCCAGGAGCCCAACAACTCCTGTTCCTCCCCCTAACTCTACAGCCGTCGCAGTGTTGATCCGCTGGATCAGCAATAACGCTGAATCAAGTACACCGTGGCGGCGCTCAGGCTCGGTTTTGACGGGTTGCTGTGCATGAGCAAAATCAATGAACTTGCTCAAAACGAGTGCAGCGTCCCAGACAACGCATCCAACATCTCCAATGTACGACTGATGAATTGTTAACTCATTTTTAGAGCTATCAACATCGAGAGATCTGGTAAACGTATCGGAGGCCATGGGCGCCGCCATGGTAACACAAGGAGTATTTAAATGCGCATGAAATAAATGGTTTAAGATTAGAGCGATGCATCCAAAGATATACCTGCTCCAAACTTAAGAAATACCTTTTTGCGAGAGCCTTAACAAATTCCGATAGACTGTACATTCATATTGATAAGCAACATGAACCCTCATACCATGCTTGGAAACTTTTGTATGGGTCCAAAAACAACGAAATTGCACCAAATTCCGTACCCTGCGGTTGGGAACAAATGTGGACATCAAGGATCACTCCGTCGAGATCCGTAAAATGCATAGATATCTGCAGCGACGAAGGCAGGGACTACAGGGGGACGTGCCCTCCTCCCCTTAGAGCCCGAGGAGCTCGAAGCTCGAGGGGTCAATCGTGACAAACGATCAAGGGCTCAGTTTGAGAACCCGGAGGGACAGAAGGGCTGGACGGAGGTAGTATTTAAGTGTAGGGTCGGGCCCTCAGATGCCTATCAGAGGGCAATTGCGCTGATGGGGGTCCCCGAGTCGATGAGGGTCTGTTTGTCGGTCAGGCACCACCAATACCAAACAGCCACATCGATGTCGGACTGGACCTTATAGGGCCCATTTCCCAAGCCGGAACAGGGCTGGCGCGCTCGATTTGCATTGTTCGAGGCCCCTGAGTGAATGAGGAGCCCCATGTATCGGTCAGGTGCCCAGGGTACCTGCTACCAAACGGGGGTTTTGCATTGGCAAGGGGCCTCGGCTCGGTCAGAAGTGTTCGAGAGTGTCCGACGACGGGTCCGAAGGGCAGACGGTGAAGGGATCGATTTGGGGACCGCAGGGAAAGACTCTAAAATGTCAGTCAGAGAGCCCTTCACGCATATCAGAGGCCCTCTGGGTCGATGAGCGCCTCTGTGTAGGTCAGGCACCATCAGAACCGAACATAAGTCTGCATGTCGGTCTGAGCCCTGGGGCTCATTCCTCAAGCATGGATATTTTTAATGAGACACCATTGAGTCGATGAGGGCCTCCTTGTTGGTCAGGCGCCACCATTACTGAACAGCCGGCTCTTTGTCGGTACAGGCCTAACGACTCATTCCCTGAGTAGCAGCCGGGTCCCGCAGTTTACATTGGCCATGCCTCTGAGTCAATCAGGCACCATTATGCGGGTCACGCTGCCTAGAGTACCTAACAGAGGGCGCTGTGCTGGCAATTGGTCCCGAGCCGGCTAAGGGCAGTGTTCTAAGAGATCCGACGAGAAGTCCAAAGGGCCCATCGGGAACGAAGATTGGAGCCCCAAGACGGCCCATGACGGTGTTTGAGAGGGCCCAAAAGATTGCTCAGAGGCTGTGTTAACACGCGCCCGAGGGTCCGGCTAAATACCCTTCTCTCGGGTGGGGGTCAATTTGACATCCCTGAGATCCCGGGAACTAAGAAAGCTAGAGACACGAAATTTACAGGGTGCCTTGAACGGTACGTGAACTCACTTAAGTCAAAGTTTGAGGGTCCTAGGTCATGACCTTCGTGTCAAATAAGGTCAAGCAAGGTTAAATTCTAGGTTGGTTCCAAAGTGTCCCCACAACCTCGGTAACTGTTTCTAAGTAAAAAGCCAAAAGCCCATTTGAGGTCAGTGACCTTGTTTGACCTTTTTAAGGTCATGGTGACTAAAATCATACAACATTGCTCTGAGTTTTGCATTCGAATAAGCGACAAAGGTTACGCTAGGCAGTATGTTCCTAAAACAAATTGTCGACCCGGGTCATCTTAGGTCAGTTGCCTTTTCTGACCTCTTAGAAGTCAATGGAAGTTGCGGTTCCTGCTGTCAATAAATCCGAAATGAGCACAACAAACTATCACACACGGCAAGCCCTAGAGTAATAAATCAGGTTGGTTGTGACCTTGGTCTGACCTTCATACCTGACCTTAGGTCAATGTAATTTGCTCATCCAATATTTGTGGTGCCTAAGGAGGTATCTCAGAGACGCATGGCTTCGTCAAACACTCCGTTATTTTATCAGATTGGACGATTCCCTAGAAATTGCCTTCGCTGAAACCATGGCCTGACTTTGACCTGCCATAGGTCAGTGACCTTATAATGTACATCTTAATTTTTGATGTCAAACGATCCGCTATTCAATTGTCTACAGCTCTGCAAAATTTGGCGTGGCTTCGCCTCGCCGTTCGCAAACCATTTTGGAAAAGCCTTCGGAGGGTGTCAATTTGACCCCCACCCCACCCGACCGCGTGCTAAGGTATTTAACCCGCAGTCGCTACCATCAAATATCAGAGGGCCCTTGGCGCCTATCGGCGACCCTCTGAGCGGATGAGGCCCCTTGTATTTGTCAGGCACCACCAGCATCGAAAGGTCGGCTGCGTGTCGGTCAGTGTTAGCAGCGAGGGACCATTTCTCAAGCAGGGACGAGACCAGTGCCGATATTTGCATTGATCGAGCCACTGAAACGGTAGGGGATGCCTTTTCGGTCAAGGCCCACAGTGCCTAACAAGGGTTTCAATGCGTACAGGAAGCCCTGAGTTAACCAGTGAAACATTCGCTAAACAAGGGGATGAACGGGACCCCGAATGTCAGAGGGTCTGTCGCGCTGCTCGGTTTTTTTGACAATAAAGGGAGATATGAAAACCCACAATGAGAGTCCGCAATGGGAAGGGGGGGGGGGGGGAGGGCCCAACGATGGGAGGACCTTGGGCAAGTCATAGGCCCATAACATAATGGAGCCCTCCAACACATGTCAGCCAGGATTTCGCTGAGCCGAACTGGAGCATGTTTGACAAATATTAAACCCCCACAGCGATAAGGGATCTTTTTGCGTCGATGAAGGCGCCTGAGTCGATGCGGGGCCACGTTCCCAAGTCAAAGCGCCTCCACGTCAGGGGGTACTAATGTTTCATGTACCCCTCTAAGGGCATCCGGATGACAAGGCCTGGCCTGGGCTCCCTGTATGGACAGAACGTTAACCCGCGCCCGACCAGGGGAGGGGGACGGAAGAAGCCGACTTCCGCTACGGTTTTGCAAACACGGATCAAAAACGAAGGCTTCCAGCAACGCATATTCATCTACCAATTTGACATCCATTGTGCAATTTAATGCTTAAATCTACTAAGATCAATGATCTATGTCAGGTCAAAGTGCTCAACCCCTAAATTCTTTTGACTACATGTGTCTTTTTTGTTGGTCGTTTGCCGTTATTTCAATTTGTATTGTTTTAGAAAATTAATGTACCTACAATTGTTTTCATTTCAGATTGTCTGCTTTTGCCATTTCCGTAAATAATGCAATTTTGTACGCGTTTTGTGCATTTTTGGTGCTTGTGTATGAGACACAAACAGCATTGACTTCCACACGCAAACATTTTACAAGAGCACATGAATTCGGCCCAGGCCGTGACCACCTCTTTGGGCACCTTCTGCAAAACGCATGCCGAGCTCAAAAAGGCAGTTGTAGTAGATAATGTTTGACGCAGAATTCGAATACTCCACTGCAAACATGTTGCGATATAATTCTGATGCATAATGAGGTCACATCAGGTCATGTGATGGCATGCAAGGTCATGTTAGATCATGTAAGGTCAATGATCTATGTTGCCAGTAGCGGAGAGGCTAGAGGAACGGGCGCGACGCGTGCAACCACTTCCGTGTTTATGAAGTTGGTGACCGGGCCTGAGCAGGGCCTCGGCTCAAGAGCTCGGGACGCCTCTGCACCTCGCGGTGTCGCGGCTAATCGAGTCCCGCGTAGATCTCTCACGCACTGTTGTAGATCTGATCTGTGAGAGATATGCACGAGCACTTCCGCTTTGGCAAACCGTCCGGTATCCGGCTATTCGTATTTCCCTATCGGGTGATCCGCTCCGCCTGGCCGCGCCGAACTGTCAGCTGGGGCTCGGAAGTGCTCTGGATTCTCATAAGAGCAGGTTCACCGCAGAGCCGCAGTGGTGCACGACACAATCTGGTGATCCTGGGGTTTCAGATTCCAGCGCTGGCTACAAAAACATGTTCCTCTCAACCCAGTCATCCGGGTCACAAACCCAGCGGGTCGTCCTCCACCGGTTCGCTACCTGGGTCCCAGATGAACACTTTGGTTCTTGCTCACCTTCAAAATAGACGGTACTGTCAACATCTACTCATTTATTCACACTTTATTTGATTTTATTGTCCACGCTCAAAAACAGTGATTAGGAGTGACAGAGCATACAAACTACCCCACAACAGGGGGCAGCGAAAACGCCCCTTCCCTTTCACCTATCCGCAGACATACACACGCGCGCATCCGCCCCTCCTTAACACACGTTCCGCTCATTTTTGTGCACTACTTGCATCTGTTTCCAAACCGGTGGACGACCTGTTGATTTTAACGCATCGTTTGTTTGTGGTGCACTATTCCTCTCCCAACACGCCGGTAAAGTTTAGAACTCTGGGTGGGGTGCGAACACAGTTTAGTCATACATTTCACGACCAATATTTGCATGGGTGAAACACCGTAACGTTCCAATGGGTAGGAGTTTGACCTAACATGCGACAGGTGACAAACATGATGACGCCCGCTGGGCCAGGGCCGATGCCCCGAGCTGTCCGGGCTAGCGCGGACACGGTCACCGCTGGCAGCCCCCACACCCTGTACGCGAGCGGCCGCCAGCTCCCGGTCCGAGCTGGAGGCGTCTGCTTCCATCAAAAGGTTCCTCGCGACTTCCTGGGATATGATCGGCTCGCTCTTGGGACTGGTTACCACACTGCATGCAAAATTGGCCTTACAGTCGGCAGTGCTGCAGCACGCGCCGTCTCATTTTCATTTCACCGCGGCGAGATCTGGACTGGGCGAACTCTAAAGCGCGACGCCCCGGTTAGCCCCGACGGGGTGGAGCGCAGCCGACTCAGACGGCACTGGGTCACCACATGGCGAGCACCACGGGCGCAGGCGCTCACACAAGCGACCACTGGAGCCGGCGGCCAGGAAACATAACAGCGACGATGAAACACGTGAGGATGGGGCTGATGCATGGCAACACGGCTCAACCGATGAGATGATAAGTGGGCTGCGAGAAATCACTGGACTGCACGCAGCGCAGGTTCTCCCACTCGCTGCCGTTCCCAGAGGCCGACCACTCCTTACTCGGCTTCGTGCTCCAAGCTTCCCTGCAGTGCCTTGCCATCGGCGGAGCGCTAGTGTCTTCTTTCAGGCGCGGACCAGAGCCAGCCGGAACGCGACGTCACAGAGCACGGTGCACCACCGCCACCAGCCGCTGTCCCAGCGTGCAGCTCGACACGGCAGCCCGGAGAGGTGGCGGGGCACGAACTGCTCGGTGCGGGCGCGTCAAAGATCGGGTTCGCGCTGTCCGCCAGGCGCGCCGGCCGGTGCGGCGCCGGCGTGCGCGGCTGGAGAGCCGCCGTCGGCCCGACACCGGCAGCACCGGCGTGGCCGTCTCACATGCCGCGGCGGTGGTACTCGGGCGGCGCCACGTAATAGTCGGCCGTGCTGAACAGACGCTCCGAGTTTTTCACCATGTACCTGCCGGCAAAGCACGCGTTGTAACCACACCTGCACCTAAGCCCGCTTCCCCCAGATGATGCAGACGTGGGACACAGACAGGACCCAAAGAACCAACATCCTACCCGCTCCCATAGGCCGTCCACGATCCCGTTCTTTATCAGCAGCTGGAAGGCCTATTCATTATGTCAGGTGAGCTTACTCGACCTGTGACGTGGCCACCCTGCTTACCTGTGAGACTACCGCCGAAGCCCACGATTCATATCATAGTCGAGACGCCATACAAGTGCGGTAAGTCGTGGTCGTTTATATAGAACCATATGGCAACGGCCGACGCACGTCGAAGGTCGCGGATGTCGGACACGTCGACAGCACTTCCTGTCCTATGCGAACCGCGTCATTGACGATGACATTTTGGTCCAAACAAGTTGCCAATAGCTGTACGATACAATCACATCTGAATATACTTCCGCTTCGCCCTATGCCTCCATGGGGTGAATGAGCTGAAAGGACTAACTACTCGCAATTAGTTTTAGAGCATTCTTCACACCGCGTCTCATGCAATTACCTGACGTCAAAGGCAGTGGCGTTTGCTTACGAGAAAAGGGGGCAGAAGGTGTTTGTTCGCTGAAGAAAGGGACCCAAAAGGCGTTTTCCTTTGACTATACAAGAGACCCAGCGCGTTAAATGGTCATCCAGAGTGCGTCCACATAAAACTTGCATGGCCTGAAGACGATTTCTGGTCCCCTCACCGGCATTATGGCGCAGACCGACCAGGTGACACTGGCGTGAGATACACACGGAGCTTTTATGAGATGCAGACAGAACCTCCATGAGATACAGACGAAACTTTCAGCCATCGGCCGCGCAGATGACTACCCCCATGTGGGGTACAGACAAGAACCAGAGCCGCACAACGCCGGCCGAATCAGAGCCGTGCAGAGCCGGCCGAACCAGAGCCGAACCAGAGCCCCACAGCGGGGTGTGCATGACGCCGGTTCGGTCCGGCCAGTCGGAGCTCACCTCAGCAGGTCCTGAATGTGCAGCTGCAGCAGGGCAATACTCTTCTCGTCCAGTTCAGTGTACGTCAGCATGGGGCCCATCTTCACTGCAACACGGCCACACGCAACGGGTCAAAAACCGTAGGGAAGTGGCGTCTGCCGTCAACATATCCCCCGTTCGGACAGACCAGGTACAATAACGACGAACAAGTCGGCCTGTATGATTTCATGCATGGATTACATTTTTCTGTACTTCGCTATTTCTTTACAATCTCAAGACAGATGCGTTACAGGTGACCGACCGCCATAGACAATTCTATCATATCACCAACGATTTCACAGTACCTGCTCAGCAACAGTTTATACACAACATACGTACACGTATTTTAGTCAATGCCGTATGTCGTACATGATCAATACCGCTGGGTTTTTACATGAAGATGGGGTAAGCTGGCGGGCCAAATGTGCCTGCACTTTGGCCTTTCGGAAGGACAACCTGTACCATGTCCCTCCTTCCACATACCGACTTATGAGAAGCAGGCTGGACCAAGATACGTACCGAGCAGCCGCAGGATGTGGAGCGGCCCGCAGATGTTCGAGAGCGGCACATCTAAGCTGAACCGAGGTACGTACCGAGCAGCCGCAGAATATGAACCAGTCCGTAGATGTCCGAAAGCGGCACGTCTAGGCTGGACCGAGGTACGTACCGAGCAGCCGCAGGATGTGGATCGGTCCGTAGATGTCGGAGAGCGGCACGTCTAGGCTGGACGACGGTTACGTACCGAGCAGCCGCAGGATGTGGATCGGTCCGTAGATGTCGGAGAGCGGCACGTCTAGGCTGGACCGAGGTACGTACCGAGCAGCCGCAGGATGTGGATCGGTCCGTAGATGTCGGAGAGCGGCACGTCTAGGCTGGACCGAGGTACGTACCGAGCAGCCGCAGGATGTGGGATCGGCCCGTAGATGTCGGAGAGCGGCACTTCTAGGCCGGACCGAGGTACGTACCGAGCAGCCGCAGGATGTGGATCGGTCCGTAGATGTCGGAGAGCGGCACATCTAAGCTGGACCGAGGTACGTACCGAGTCAGCCGCAGGATGTGGATCGGTCCGATAGATGTCGAGAGCGGCACGTCTAGGCCGGACCGAGGTACGTACCGAGCAGCCGCAGGATGTGGATCGGTCCCGTAAGATGTCCGGAGAGCTGCCACGTCTAGGCTGGACCGAGGTACGTACCGAGCACCGCAGGATGGTGGATCGGCCCGTAAGATGTGCGGAGAAGTCGCACGTCTAGGCCGGACCCGAGTACGTACCGAGCAGCTGCCAGGAAATTGGATCAGTCCCGTAGATGATCCGAGAGCGGCACGGTCTAGTCTGGACCGAGGTAGTACCGAGCAGCTCGCAGGATGTGGATCGGTCCGTAGATGTCGGGAGAGCGGCACGTCTAGGCCGGACCGAGGTACGTACCGAGCAGCCGCAGGATGTGGATCGGCCCGTAGATGTCGGAGAGCGGCACGTCTAGGCCGGACCGAGGTACGTACCGAGCAGCCGCAGGATGTGGATCGGTCCGTAGATGTCGGAGAGCGGCACGTCTAGGCTGGACCGAGGTACGTACCGAGCAGCCGCAGGATGTGGATCGGTCCGTAGATTGTCGGAGAGCGGCACGTCTAGGCCGGACCGAGGTACGTACCGAGCAGCCGCAGGATGTGGATCGGTCCGTAGATGTCGGAGAGCGGCACGTCTAGGCCGGACCGAGGTACGTACCGAGCAGCCGCAGGATGTGGATCGGTCCGTAGATGTCGGAGAGCGGCACGTCTAGGCCGGACCGAGGTACGTACCGAGCAGCCGCAGGATGTGGATCGGCCCGTAGATGTCGGAGAGCGGCACGTCTAGGCCGGACCGAGGTACGTACCGAGCAGCCGCAGGATGTGGATCGGTCCGTAGATGTCGGAGAGCGGCACGTCTAGGCCGGACCGAGGTACGTACCGAGCAGCCGCAGGATGTGGATCGGCCCGTAGATGTCGGAGAGCGGCACGTCTAGGCCGGACCGAGGTACGTACCGAGCAGCCGCAGGATGTGGATCGGTCCGTAGATGTCGGAGAGCGGCACGTCTAGGCTGGACCGAGGTACGTACCGAGCAGCCGCAGGATGTGGATCGGTCCGTAGATGTCGGAGAGCGGCACGTCTAGGCCGGACCGAGGTACGTACCGAGCAGCCGCAGGATGTGGATCGGTCCGTAGATGTCGGAGAGCGGCACGTCTAGGCCGGACCGAGGTACGTACCGAGCAGCCGCAGGATGTGGATCGGTCCGTAGATGTCGGAGAGCGGCACGTCTAGGCCGGACCGAGGTACGTACCGAGCAGCCGCAGGATGTGGATCGGTCCCGTAGATGTCGGAGAGCGGCACGTCTAGGCCGGACCGAGGTACGTACCGAGCAGCCGCAGGATGTGGATCGGTCCGTAGATGTCGGAGAGCGGCACGTCTAGGCCGGACCGAGGTACGTACCGAGCAGCCGCAGGATGTGGATCGG